CCCCAAAACCCCAAAACCCCAAAACCCCTTTAGAAATTATCTGATTAGGAGCTTTATAATGACTGATTAAAAATCTAAATAATCATAATTATTCATAGCAAAAGCATTATTTTGATAGGAAATTTCCAAATTGGCTAAATTCTTTAAAATAGTATCAAGGGTCTATTAGGTGAATCTAGCTAGCATCCTCAAACGAAGATAGCTAAGGACTCTTAGTATCAAATTCGTAATCATTTAGAGAACTAGATTTATTTTCCTGCAAAATCTGATTTTTGCGCTTTAGTAAATCTATTTTAGTCTCGTAATATTCAATAATATCCTTCAATTTTTCATAACTAAAAATTTCCTTTACTATTATTCTTCTTCTATAGTCATCACTTTTTTTATCTGACTGTTTATCCCTTTTAGTAAATGATAAAATCAGACTCTTCTCAAATTGCTTCTAATGGACAATTGAGATTATTATTCTGATAAAGGACAAAAATGAGATATAACCTCCAATCTTAGCAATACCATAGAATATACTTTCAGGGGTTACTCTTACAACCTACCAAACAAATAAGTCATCAATCTATATGTAAAAAGAGTAATCAGATTTATCTCGTTATTAGTTAACCATTTAAACTGGATAGTCATTGAAGAAGTACAACTCCGATATGTAATGCTTACTAAGTTAGAACACATCATTTGTGTAGTGATATAAAAGTTGATTAACTTTAATTTGATAGCTTCCTTAAAATAAAGCCATGCTGCTTTTATCAGTTTTTTGTATCTGCTTATTGTCGAAGTAGAAATACTAAGATTAGAAGAATATATTCATATCATCAACTTTCAAATCTGGATTAGTCAAATTCAAGCTAAGAATTATAGTTTGAAATGAGTCTAGCTTTTACTCTGAGATGTATTATTACTCCTTTGTGTTTACTTACAATTCCAAGAAATACCTGCCTGAATATTTGCTATCAAGAACCAAACCACAGTCAAAATTTAGACTAATGACTGGCTTCTAGTACTAATGAAAATCAGCTGAAAATGCCACATCAGAGCACTTAAGATTTCTCTGTATATGAGTTGCTAAGATGCTAATCTGCATCTCCTTAATCATCTTACCCACATTTGTAAGTGAATCGAAATTAGGCAAGTTAAGTGTGTCATTCTACACAGTATACGTGATCTTTTCTAAACTAAAAATCTCTATCAATGTTGAAATTGAGAGTGCTAAAACTATTATAGCTGCCACCAAGGTAATTATCCCTCCAACAAAGGTTGAAAAAAAGACTTTTTCTTTATAGTAAAGACCAGAATTATGTTTTCCTATTGAGATAAACCTTAGAAAGTTATTCAATACCCTCAAATATTTTTCCTTTTTTGATTGCCTTTTCATCGTAAAAATTGTAATAATAACTTTAAAAATTACATTATTTCGTTTTTATAACAATATTTAAATTAAATCTTATAATCAGGGGTTTTGGGGTTTTGGGGTTTTGGGG